TTTTCCTGCGTCAGGCGACATTGAGGTTCAGAAAAAGTTTTTTTTGATGTGAAAATAATTTCCTCATTGCGTTCGTAAACTCTCGATGGACTTGGAAGATAAATGGTTGTGCTGTGTTTTGTTAGGATTTTAATTTATCATGAAGTTCTTTTTGCTGGGACTTGTGAGAGATGAGCGTGGTTTATGAAATTTGAACGTTATTTGTGTTTAGGAAACTGTTTGGGAAATCGCCAAGTTAAGGACGAAGTGAAAGTAAAATTTGAGATAAAATTTGAAATTTTGAGAGGTTTGAATCCTAGTGAAATGTAAAATCAATTGTCGATAAAACTTGTTTTTCCTATTTTTTCTCAAGGTTCAAATCCTTTAATTTCCAAACTTAAGAAATATTTTTTTCAAATACTTATTCAACTCCACCCATAAAGCATAAGTTCTTTTCGTAGAAATTCTTCATAAATATCTCTAATCAATGCGATTAATGTTGTGTGTCAGTTCCTCAAGAAACTTATTATTTTCTCATGTCTATAACGTATTAAGCGTTCAGTCCAATAAGTCCATTTTGAAGATAATCAATACAACAAGGCACGTAAGGATCATTCATCGATATCCATTGATAACATTGACCTTATCATTTTGCATCAAACTTCTTTTTTGCCATCACGTCATGCGGAAGTTCCTCAAATAAATATATTTCCGGACATGATTGGAAATCTTGAGAATTTGACAATTTTTGTTGTTGTTGCGCAATAAAAAAATATTTTTTTGCCTTTTTTTGTAAAATTTTCTCATAATTTTCATCTTTTTATGGATCATGCTCATCGTGTCCATTTAGAGTAATGCTTTATTTTATGAGGGTCGAAGGAAATTCTCAGCAGAAAAATTTGTCATGCAAAATGCTTTTATGACTTGTCATATAAAATTCATGACCTTGAAGTTTCAGCTGGAATTCTCAAGATTCAGATGGGTTGAGATGATAGTGTAAATTTTTTTTGAGAAGGATATGGAAGCAATGGACTGAAAAAATAGGATTTTTATTCCAGTCATGCTTTTTAAAATTCGCAAAAAATTATTTTTTGTGAGATATTTTCATACTTCACAAGAGGAATATTTCTAGAACTTTTTGTGAAGTATAAGGATTTTATACAAAATCCTCAATTTTTTAAAATGTTTAGATTTTTTGCAAACAAATTTAATTTTTGTAACTTCATTTATAAAACTACAACTATCCATGTCACTACTTTCTTATCTCAAATCTCAATAAAACTCTCATTTATCACACATCCATTAGTGTTGACAGTTTTACTTCTCATTCAGTCTCAATGCACAATCTCATTTCATATTCATAATGAAAAGTCACTTTATGCACGAAACAAAAGCCTTTTAATAATATCCACAAAGCGAGAATCCTAAAAGTGTCATGATTCATAAATAACTGATGTCATAGAATGAAGCAAAACAAAGAATCTCATTTACAATGTCAATTTTCCAATGCTACATCCTTCCTGCAATGTTACTCGAGTTTGTGAGAAATTATAGAGCTGTGAATAGTGAGAAGAAAATGGTTGAAACTATTAAGGCTCGTTTGGGAATGATGTATCAAGTGATGGAAGAGGTGGAGAGATGATAAAGGCTAATGTGCTTGAGTTTGGACAGACTTGATGTGCTAGTGCAGACCATAGTAATAGAAAAGAGTATTGGCTCTTAGACCTTGTGCGGGATTAGGACTAAGTGTCAGGAGACTTGATCTGAGGCTATCTGAGTGTGACTTAAGCATGATTTAAGTATGACTTAAGTTTGGTAAAGGTACAGTCTAGTTAAATAAAATATGATCTTCTTTTAATTCATAACCAAGCTCCTGTTTCAGCATTGAAGATTAATCAACACATCTTTTAAATAACGTCATTTATGAACAAACCCCACAAAGCACATTCATAATTTTTCTTCATCATTATGAAAAATTATTATTGTTACTCGCTGATGCTCATTTTTCATGAGAATTGTGTTCCTCTCATGTGCTTTCAGCATTTTTTTTTACAGATTCATCACTTTGCTTCCTTTTTATTCGCGTGCACAATACGGAAATGATGAGAAAAATCTCGAATGAGATGATCTGTAAGTAGAAAATCAAGTTAATGTCAAAACTTGAAGTCGAATCGGATTTTGCTGATATATTGTCTAGAAAAGTATAGAAGAGTGTTGAAATAACCTTGCTGCTACTTTTCGGGTAGGTTTATATGAAATTTTTAATGACAAAACTAATTTATTGAAGAAAGTCACGAGTTCGAATCTCAATAAATATCTATATGTATATATATATATATGTATAATTTCGATCACTGCTTACTTTTTCCTTATTTTTTTCAACATTTCATCCGTGCTTTGTGATAAATGAGATGATTTATATACAGCATAAAGGAAGAACTCTCGTTCAAAAAAGTATCAGATTTAAATCAATTATAGAGCATAATGCATTTTAAAATATTCTTTTTTCACCCTTGAAACTGAATACAATGTTGCAGACTATTCCGCTGTTTGGTGACAGTAAATAACAAAATTAAAAGGAAAAGCTTTATAGATCCAACGGATGGAGATAAAAAGCAATAATTAATGAAGTTAAACACGACCGAAGCTGGTTGATTCTGTTTGCAAAGTGTAGATTATTATTCTTTTACTATTTTATTCCCTCATAAAAGCTGGAATGGCTGGCTATTATAATTTTTATGTTGGACGAGAATGCAGCAGAAAGTTTTAACAAGGAAGAATTTTTTTTAATAAAATGAAAAATTTACTGCTTTTTGAATAGAAATGGGAATTTTAATGGTCGTAAAATTTTGAGCTTAATATGAATTTTTAAAGCTTCCTTTGACTCTGATTAATTATGGAAATATTTTTATGGAGAATAATAATTTTGTTGTGGTTGATTTGAAAGTTTATTTGGATTGTTTTGGGGGTTATTAAGATGTTAAGTAACGATTCTAGCAATAAAAGTAAGCTAAGGTTGTTTGCGGGTACAGAAAAACAGTAAAATCAACATATCATCCTAGGTTTGAATCTCAAGAGTGTAGTCTGTCTTAATTCGAATATAAAGGAACGGTTCGAATCCTACTTTAAGCTAATCATCTGAAGTGGAGCCAGAAAAGATCCTAAAATCCCACATCTATAATGCAACCTTAATAAACATCACTTACTACATCAGTTCCTTAACTTACTCAATCAAATGCTCAATCTAAAATTTTGTCGATTGCTCCTTAATTGACCTCATTAAGCCTTAGACATGATGTCATGTTGCTCTATACAAAGTCCTTGAAAATGATCAAACTTTCGCAATTAAAACGGAAGTGAAAATTAAATTTTTTTATCCGGAAAAATTTTCATCAGAGCCACAAAAAAGGAAAAGCTTAAAACTATTTTTTTTGTTTGCCATAGAAAAGTTTATATTATTATAAAGGAAGATGAAAGAGGCGATAAAAGCAATCTGACAAGTTTTAGAAAGCAAAGCTGAAAATTCCAATTTATTAAAAAGAAAATTCCTTCCGAGACATCAACAGCATTTGCATTGGAACTAAAGTTCCCACATAAAGAGGACATGGAAATTTTATAATAAAACTTTTATAACTGGATAGTGGCAACAATAATTTGTCACGAATGTGCATTGTTGGCGTGCATGCAAGGATAAACGGAAATTATGTGAAAATGCACCATCGGTTGATGCACACAAAGCCAGCCAAGGAAGGAAGAAGTTTTATATTATTTCAAAAAAGGAAGTTCATGAAAATAATTTTTGAGCAGGAAATGCTTTGGTTTTGGGTGCATTTTGTCGGCAGTTGTGGGTTCTTTTGGAAAAAGGATGTGATTGAGCTCAGACATGAATATTGCATGCTATTAAGCTATTTTGAGATCAAATTAAACAAGTAATTTGTAACGGTAAAAAAATATTTGAAATTTAAACAGTTTTCTGGAATTTAAATTTTCAAATCTCAAGAAATCGTTAAAAAATTTACAAACTTTCAGCAATTTCTCCAAAAAAGCGCCACATCCACATACATCCTCACATCCTTACTTCAAAAAAGTCTTTTGTCTCAGAGAGAACCAAAAAGGAAGACGAACAAAGTTTCTCATTCATGTATCAACATTATTAACGGTAAATAAATTTCATGTTGTTGCATAAAAATTCATCTGATGCAGGAAAGCTTCCATCCCACAATGCTGCAGCACATACACAGTCTCATTGAAATTTCATTTCCTGCATCCATATTCGAATTTGTGTTTATTTTAAACACGTCTGACTATGGCTCAAATATTGATTTTCGCAAAATATCTATGGACACCATTCAAGGACAGAACTTTAAGCGACACTGTTCATGTTGCGTTTTAATTTCCTTTGAGACAGATTCATCGTCGCATGTTCCCTCCCATGTCGGGTCACTTATTGCCAACAATCTAGTTGGAAGCAGACACAAGAAAGAGAATACTTAATTGGTATTCATGGCAACAATGAAGGATGAAAGGCACAAAAGACTGAGATGAGAAGAGAAGATGATTTATTGGATGGTCTAAAGCTTTGTTGATGCTCATTTATTAAAAATATTGTTTCGTTTGTTTTTTTGTTGTTTATGAATTCAAGTAGGGCGGTCATTTAATAACAATACCAAGTAAAATGAGGATGGGAATCAAGCAGGATCTGAGATCTTAGTGGACATTTTTAATGAATTTTATCTTCAATTGTGCAATTTATAGGATTTGAACCTTCAATTATTTGATAATCATTATAGTTTTATTCCATATATTGTCCAATAATTTGACAATTCTTACTTATATCGCCCTACTAGCTTTCAAATAAATCCCATCAATCCCAAAAGAATCTTTTCAAACGTAAATTCCATAAAAATCACAACAGCCATGTCATCATTTTTATACCAATTTTATCAACACAAACAACACTTTTTACTCTCAATTTTTTAATTTTTTATTAATTTGATATTTAATCAAGATTTTTCGGATATATTTTACTTCTGGACCTTTTGTCAAAATATTCAATAATCAGTCATGAATGTCTTATCACATCTCACAGAAGCAATCATCAAAATTTTGAATGAAGAGTTGACTGTCTTAGTGAAAGGAGAAATCTATAGGACGAATGAGGCTTTCCTTAATAGCATTGAAAGGTTCGCGAACTTTTGTCTGCAGGATACGCATCCAGAAATGTATGAATTGCATTGTTTTGTTGGGGATGCAGAATTGACGAATTACATTGACGATTTGACATTTTATGCTGTCAATGGAGGTTTCAATCGTAAGATTTGTTCTATTGAGGGCGTAGTCAGGGTTTTGGTCTTGCCTTCCATGCTACGTCATCGAATTCTGTTCCTTTATATATTAACTTCTAACCTAAATCTTCCATCCAGATATATTCAAGAAACACCTGGACAGTTCATTCAAAGGCGAACCGAAACTAATTGGAAGCGGCACAGACAGCTCCGGTAGCAGATGACAACAATTCATGACTTGTTAAAAATCTTCAAATTTCAGTCATTTTTCGATCTTTTGTGGATGAGTTAAATTCAAGTATTTTTGGACTTTAAAATTCACTAAAACCACAAAATTAATAAAAAATTTTAAAGTAACAAAAAGTTTCCTTGACTGGAACTCGTCAATTTTCGCAAATGGAACTTTTCATCATGAATAATTAAACCTTGAAAGCAGATTATCAATTTTAATTGGCGTCTCCTACTAAAAGCTTCGTGATGATGACGAAGTTGATGCTTCGGTGAGTATAAACTTTCCAACTAAGAGTTGACGATGGAAAATAATCAATAGACAAAGAAGTTGTCAGAAAGTTTTCATTGAGTTTGTGAGCTGAACCCGAGTGGTATATGGATTGAATGGCAGTTTTTTGGGAGGCATTATTAAGCTTGTGTTACAAAATATATATAATTCTAAAGTCTGGAGCTGTATTGATCCTTCAGACACTTCCATTCATTCCCTTATGCCAGTGTTGTCCAAACTGTGTGCCGCGGTACACTGGTGTGTCGTAGAATTTTTGTTTAAATAACGCGAGCCGTATGCTGTGTGCGACTTTAGTCATGTTTTCCCCCTAAAGGGTGCCGTGGCTCATAAAAGTTTCGACAACACTGCCTTATGTCTTACAAAACATAACCTAAACATCACCTGCTCTTCAAAAATGCATGTACTCCTCGGGACAAACATAATAAAACTTAAAATGCTCCTGCTTCCGTTCAATTTAATTTTATGAGCTGATAATATTGAAGGATTGAGTAGCAGAACTTTGAATTAGTAGTTAAACTTAATATAGTTTTGATGAGATTCTGAGCTGCTGCTGATGAAATGGAATATTTTAATAGAAATGAGAAAGTTTAACTAGTTTTATGATAAGATTGAGGAGTAAGATGAGCTTCTTTATTAAATAGAATTTAATGAATATTCAGCTTGACTATCTTCTCAAGGAGCTAAACCCTTGGAGCATCAGTGGTTCTCAAACTGTGTGCCACGGTACACTAGTGTGACGTGAAAAAAATCAGGTGTGCCGCCAAAAATTTTAATTGTAAAAATGTGCCGTGGTTCAAAAAAGTTTGAGAAACACTGCCCTACCACCTCCTCAATTTCTTAAGCTATCTCTTTCTCTAAGACTAAGTCATTTCCAAAATAATACATTTTTGTCGCTAGAATATATTTACAATGGTTATGATTCATTCACTACTGACTGCACCATCAGATTCAATAAAATAAAATTCTCCCCGCTCCATTCTCACTTCTTCTATTATGTGTCTTGCATTATCCCTACAAGTAGTAAGCAGCAAGTACCAAAGAAAATTATGAAAAAGTTTTTCTTACTGATAAAAATGGTGAAAGACTTTTTCTTGCACAGGGGGACAACAATATGATGAGAAAAGTTTTGTTGAGATTTTTTCAGTGATTTTCTTTCAAAATTTAAACATAAAATGGTAAAATTGATGAAATTTTTTCCTATAATGTTGTTCCCCCTTTCTTTTTCTTGATTCCCCACAAAAAAAAAGTATATACATAGAGAGAAGTATTATGAGATGTGAAATGAATACGCTGTACGAAGGATGAATACTTTATGAGGACATACATGCTTTCTCAACTATGGATATGTAGAGAAATTTGTGGTTGTACAGCAACAAATATTTTATAAATGAAGGAATTCTCATGTGACGTTGTGTCGTGGAGTTTTTGTGTAGATGAAAATTATTGTTTTTGTGTTTTGAGATGAAGTTGAGGTTTTAAAAAATTACAGAAGTCCTCGTGTTATTGATCGAGGGACTTAAGCGCATTTTTGTGTTAGCGATCAGCATTTTATTGTCTATTTAATTTGCGTTCATTTACAGATCATTAGAAGATTAGAAGATCATTGATTTTAGTGCAATTAGCAAATTATTACAATGAATGCTTATATAGAAAAGCTTTATTATTTAACGGTTAATAAATAATTTGAAATTTTCCCGCTAAAAGTTGCACTTCAAAAACAAAAACTATAGTATAATTAATAATTTGTAGAAATGAATTTCCATATAGAAAAAGTTTATCATTCAACGGTTTTTTGAGATTCAAAAATTTTTAACGGTAGAAATAAATTCAAATTTCTAAACGCTCTCATCACGTGTTTTTTCATATGAAATATAAAAATCATTAATTAAAGTACAAAAACACTGTTTCAAGACTTTTAAATGCGTTTTCCGAAAATAAAACAATGGACCTGAGCTAATAAAACAAACTAGAACTCTACGATGTCTAGTTAAAAGTTTTTCTCCGCCCGAACGAACAGACATAGTGAGATATTAAGCTATCTTTTCGAAACAAGTTTCAAAAATGCGTTAAAAAATGTGAAATGTAAAAAATTTGAAAAAAAAAATAAGAGAGCGTTAGATATTTTTGTTTTAAATCTTAAAGGATTTGAACCTTGGATTTTTTCCATTTTAATAATAATTGTATTATTTCGATTTGTAAAATTTCGCAATTCACGATATTATTTAGGACCAATGCAAATTAAATTTTTAAACGCTTTCTTTTGAAATTTGAAAATGAAATGAAGCTCAATAATTTAAAAAATTTTAAAAATCCTTAATAAATAGAATTATTGCTTCATCATGAACTGATGTTGTTTTTCATTTTATATAAATTACAAGATTATAGTTTAAATTTGAAACATCACGAGAAATATCACTTTTTCATAAATTTTCCATTCTCCAGAATATATCAATAAAGAACGTTTTCAGGATTTACAAAAAGATTTTCTTCCATGCATAAACATTTTCATGACGGGAGAAGTGATTTTGTGAAAAATATTCATCTTAAAGGAGAAAATTGAAAAGATGAGATGTGAAAATAAATGGGAAACAAAGAATGGAAAAAATCTCATCCTGATTCTTATCCATTTTTCATCCTTTGCATTCAAATATTGATTTTTCGATGATTCTCTCTTTTCCATCAAAATTTGAATAAGTAGTTCGTGAAAAAAAAAAAGTTTTGGGATTGAGGTGAATTTTGATGATGTTGAAGGATGAGGTTGAATTTTTAAAATTGAATTTTTAAAGTTTGTAGAATTTTTTTCCAGTTTTGTTAATAATAATCAATTAAAATTTGAGTTTAGCCTTTTAAAGCCAGGTATTATATTTTTGAAATCTTTACTTTACTAAGCAATAGCTTGAGATCATTGCTAGTCAAATTTTTGACATTTAGAGCCAACTTCAAGTCAGTTTAAATCAGATCCAGGTTATAGTACCAGCAATCAAGTTCAGGTTAATTATAGACAACTTCAAAGCATTGTAGCCAACTTCAAGTCATTATAGCAAACTTCTAGTCATTAGAGCCAACTTCAAGTCAATTAAAACTTAATTATAGTCAACTTCAAGTTAGCTAGCCAAATTAATGACATTTTAAGCCAAAACAAGCTTAAAGATAGTTCAGACCCTCATTCAAATTCAAAACCATTCCAAAATGTCCTCAAATGGATTCCTCCCCACTCCAAACTTTATCATATCCTTAAAAAATATCTCTAATGTCATAAGCACATGGCTACTCAAATTCATATTATTCAGATTATCTCCGTCTGAATCATCAATTGTCCCTGTTGGCCTTGAAGGTCGTCTCCTTACATTCCGAGCAGCATAAAATATTGAACGTGCCAACTCACCTGAAAATAGAAATACAATAAAAATAATTAACATTCAATTCTGTCAAAAAATAGAATAAAAAATATCGAAATAAATTTCCACTCGAAAAGAAAGTCATCAGATATAATTTCAATTTCCTTCGCGTCAGACAAAAAGGAGCTGTTTTGGTGCTGCTCCAATTCCGCATCCCATGTCTCTCTTTTCCTTTCGGGTGAACATTAAAAATTAGTATTCTATAACGATGCTTTCGTCATAACAATTTTCACAGTTAAGAATAAAAGAAAAAAAAATCGATATAATTGAATGAGCGTCGCTTTAGTGAATAATAAAGAATGTTTAGAAGATGAAAATTTCCATTAAACAATATTGACTTTGCATTGTGAATTCCTTTTACTTTTTTATACACACAGCATAGTACATAAAAATGAGCATTCATAAAAGCAATTTACGATTTTTTTTTTGTTTAATTTGTTTTTAAATTTTTATGATCTAGGGATAGGAATTAAGATGCTGGCAGGTAGAGGGTGCCCTATGCTCTTATATATTGTAATAATCCATTTCCAAATAGTTTTCAAAAGTGGTTCAGTGGTAGAGTGGTTAAGTATCTCAATACTTAATGTGATGTTGACTCATCGGGCTTAAGTTCGAAACTCGCAATGTGAATATTTTAATTTCTCAATTTTTCTGAAGCATAAGTGATTAGAAGTTCGAATCCTATCCTTATACACATTCTTTGCCTCCTAGCTTGTACCATAACAGCCGTTCTTTGAGTCTCATCCACATGCCATCCTACTCTGTAATGTTTGCATACTGTTGAAACGAGAGAGATGAAGGTGGAGATTAAAAGCATCTCCCCAAATGACATGGTAAAGTAAACGAGAGAAGATGAGAACAACACAGTCATGGGTATGGAAATGGAAATTTTCTCGCATAATTTTTTAATCGCTTACAGAATTTTTAATTATATTTATTCAACATGAAATTAATTTTATTTTACCAAAATGGAGAATATTTTTTTGTGTGCAATTAATTTAAATATAATCATGAACATTAATTAATGGTGATGATTATTGGGAAATCGGGTATTCCTCGCATATTAATTGTGGCTCAAATGTATTGATATTTAATTAAACAGCTACAAATATTTACATGTGCTTGCCCCCCTGAAATTTGAGGGTTATGCTGAATGTGATTCTCATTTAATTTCAACAACTCGACATATCTGTCAACCGTGAAAAAACATTGTTGACTGCATCTGCATACAAATAGTAACCCGAGTGCAGATGCACATTCCAATTTCAAATGTCAATTGCATGCTTTGAACATCAAAGCAAAACCTTCATCACTAGCCACAAAATTACACAGATTGAATGTCATTGCTGCAAATTGATACTTTTTGCTTGATTATTTTGTGATTTAGGTATGTAAGTGCTTGAGTGAGTGTTCAAGTAGTTGGAAGTAAGTTTTTTGATGGAAGAGTCACCAAAAGTTATGGTTTTGTTGGCCATACAGAGTCAACACGTTTTCTAAACTCCATAAGACTTTCGAAAGGAATCGAACTAAGGCATCACTTGAGTAAGGAGAGCTAAGGCATCAAAGAAGAATCATCGTTACCAATTTAATTGCACGAGAACTAGCTCGGCAAATAACTATAAACATTTAATC